ACAATGCAATTCAAGAGTTCTACGTGAGTTAGGTTGCGCGAGCAAGAAGCTACAATTTCACGCATAAACAGCCCCATAAACAGCCCAATATGTGTTGAGGAGAGGAGGGCGTCTCTTATGTCTGTAAGCGTGCCTTCATCTATTGGACTGAAAGGAGAAGTATACTGTCATGGAGTCAAGACCCCGCGTGCCTGTGTGCACAAAGTAAATGGGGAGCCATGGCTTCGACATACAATCTAGTAGTGGATAGTTCCACCACGTCGTCAAAGTCACTGGCCCTCGGCATCAGAGCGTTTAGGATCCTGGAGTGATTTGGCAGAGCTCCTTTCCTGTTCCATCAAGGCCGTTGTGATCCAAAAGTCTCGGAAGGGATATTGTCTAATCGCGAGCGGTTTCAGCCTGTGTTTGCCAAGCAATGCTCAGTACGCGGGGCTCAGATCTTCATCGCTATGTCAAAACTCCACTAAAGTATGACAGAGATTGTTTACTGTGTGGGGTAATGGGAGATATGATGTTGAATAGATACAGATCGCTTAGAGGTTCTCTTGTGTCATAACAATAATAACATTCAAAGGATAGGTACAGTTATGTTATCTGCAGCTATGTCATATGCTGAGTGGTTACCTGCCAAAGACAAACCTTGGGATTGGATCTGCAGCATGGAACCTAAAAATGCTACTCGAAATCCATGTCCACGGCTTCGTTTCCTCCGCGAGAGAGGGGCATAACACATACTCAAGCCCCCCACAACTTTCATGATGATTCCGGTCCCAAAAACTACCACGCTTCTGTGGCAGTCCTGCAGTGGCAGAACCAAATGCAAGCCGTAACGCTGTTGTCTTCGATACTGTCCTGTACAGCAAGCTGATACTCTTATGTCCAGACGTTGATACCATCACTGGAATCGAAGGGACTGGCGATGTTATCTCCGATATGCAGACCAGTGGACCGAAAACTGCGATTGAATGCATTCGCGGTTGTTTAAGCGAGGTAGGGATCGCTGAGAGGCCACCTTGGGGTGTCAGACATGACTCTGGCAACCCCGAGATGATGGGGATGCAGTTTCCCGAAACGGATAACAGTGTTCATGACGGCTAGCTATCTCGTCACAGAGCCAGCCTATTACAAGAGTCTAGACATGATTGAGCTGATTATCGAAGTGACAACTCGGTTTATGAGAGATTTGATGAGAATGTTCTCACCGGCTCGGTCACGAGATCCCCAACGGATGTCCGTGGTGGATAATGGCGAACTCGTTGAGGTATGGAATGCAATGGACGTAGTGTAAAGCGCCAGCACGTGGGTGACATGCAGGACCAGGAAGAAAGCTTATTAACCTTTGATGGAACTAGCCGCGGAAACAGATATCGAGCCGGATGACATCATTAGTGGGTGGTTAAGGTTCCAGACAGATTCGGCCCTTTGCTGTTCCTTGGTGCCACCATGACTTGAGGACTTGGCCTGGGAATCCTCTTGTAATCATTGATGGGCGGTGTCCGACAAATCAGTCGGCAAATGTGTGAGGGGATTTCAACTGTCATTGTTGTTGCGGCTACCTTGTGGCTGGCTGTGGTATGTTGCCATGATTGTCGCCGAGCTTCCATCGAAAGCGGTGGTCAGGAGAAGAGCCGATCAAAGGGATCGTCAAAAAGCTTGGCTCTGGGGCTCTTAACCTTGGCATTTCTTGGCTTGACGGGAGCGGGCGGCTTGTGGAGCAGCGGTTGGTTCTACCCCCTGTGGAGAAGTGGGGTAGAGACTGGAGAGTGGAGCTGAGATGGAGCTTAGGGCTGACAGCATGATGAAGGCCCTGTCCATCACGATCTTCAACTTCCATGGCAGGAATAGGATATGGTTTGAGGAAACAGCCCCTCAAAGGTATTGGTGTTCTCTCACATCCAAAGTACTTTCCAGTAGTATATCCTTTCCGATGCTTACAGAAGCCAATAAGGGGGGATTCTCTCTTCAACTCAGCGCTTGGGTGACCCCCAAAGCCCAAGAAGCGACCGCACTTACCACACTGCTATCATGATAATGAAACGCACCTAAACGGAACCCCCAAATGCAGCGCCAGTTCCTCCTACCGGCACCAACCCATTTGCCGATATTGCCGGTATGCCAACCATAGCGGTACCCACATTTTGGTTTTTGGAAAGGTCCGTGAGGCCTCATTTTAGCCTGTTGTGTACCGCTCGCCATGTGTGCATCTCGAGAGCATGCACAACGACAACCGGTTCCCGGGCTGCTGGTCGGCTCGTCCCTGTCGTGCCCCTGCTCTGTCGTTTCCCCATGCCCATGCCCATTTTTGCCCACATTCCCAGTTCATCTTCCGAATTTGCAAACTCTGACGTACCCTCACATCGGGGGCATTCCTGTTAGGTGCAGCTTTGACATCGCCAGCATCATTGACCCCCTTTCCATGGCTGGGCACTGGGCTCCGGGCTCCGGAGTATCAGTTACGGAGTCATCAAACTCTCTGGTGCATCAGAATACGAATAGGCAGGGAGTTAAGAGTGCTGTTGTTGTGAAGAGTAGGTAGTCATCGCTTTCCTGCTACCTGCCGATGTTGCACAACTGAGAGCGAAATGCAGCTCTGTTTTGTAACATACAACCACATCTGTACCTAACCGCGCGGTATACTGATTTCGTTCCCTAAGGTCCATGACTTGTCTTCATCACTAGGTCCTCCACAGCTTAACAATCACCATCAATACAACTGTGAATTTTTATTTGTCAGCTTGAGAGACACAACAAGAGAGACAAGTTCTCTGCTGTAACCTCATATGGAGCCTGCGCTAAGTTGAGCATTCAAGTTATTATTTCAAGGACCTTTCTTTCACCGTCTCATGGCGAAAGCTTATTGAAAGGTATCTTAAAAGAGTGAAATGGCATCCTGCAATACGCTATCACATAGCAAAGGGACCAATCCTCGCCGAGACTTTTTGTGTAATTCTATGTAAAACCTACCTAGATATCGCAATGGTATTATATGCTTAATCCACAAGAATCACCATAGACCGTTTTTCCTGCCCACACCCTGCTATCAGCATTCTTCCCTACTACCTACCATCTTTATAGGTTGGCCAATTTGTTTCCTCTGAGTCTCTGGTTTCGCTAAGGATCTTGGATATGGTTTCTGAAGGGTGACTCGTTCACGGGACGGAAAGGTTGAACTCGTTTTTCGACTGATTGCCATCGGGGGTAGGATACGGAATGACCATGTCAAAATATCTTATGCCTGCTGGCTAATATGAGCCGAATGCGGCTAGTTATTGGATCCTACACTCTCAACTCCTATCTCCACAAGGGAGCTTCCTGACCGGGTTTGGGATGGTGCTTAATAAACATCACGAAGCGTGTGCTTCCGCTTCTTCCATGTGTGTCATGGACTTGTTCCAGTTCAGGAACCAACTAGGATCTCAAGACAACGGTGGGCTCTCTTCAGCGGGGTGTTTTTATTTCCTTTACTAACGATAGACATGCATTGGTCCGGAAAGGTGTGAATACTTTCCAGAGAAGCTTCACCCCTCCAGCTTCCTCCATGAATTGGTAGGGGGCGTAGCGATCAGGAACCCGAGCTGTGCTATGTATGGATACATGACTCCGACACTGAGCAACAACATAGCTTATCACAAACTTGCCGGATGCAGTAATATACCCTCCTTCGAGTTTCCCTGTCTAGCGAGCTTGTAAAGTTTTCAGATATGTGGCACAACACCAGCCGCAGATGCAGGCATGTTCATGTCCAACAAAAGCGTTCAAGGCAACTTGAGTTGGCTTACCAAACGTGATGTCATCAAACTACGTTCCGCTCCGAGTTGCTCTTTTTCTCTTGTGTTGACAAATGCCTTTTTCACCATATCTTCTCTAATTGTCTAGGAGATAATACTAGGAAAACGTAAGAATGAGCCCAAAACGTTTCCGTATAATCTTTTTTCCCTTCGCAAATCCGAATGCACACTTATGCTTCCTGGTTTTGAATCTTTGCTTCTTAAAACATTATCTACCTAATTTTATACGTCATATCTGTCTTCTCGCCAAGCCCTGCTGTTTACCTTTAACCACTCTTCTTCATTCGTCAGTCGCTTTTGGATCATCTTATAATCTACAGGGTTTCAAATGTAATGTAACAACACAGTCTGACTTGATGAGTGGCCGGCAGTTTACAGGCCAGGGATATCTCTTAAGAATGAGATACACAAACGTAAAGTTGCATCGCAGCAGACTAGAGAAGGTTGCTGGACCATTGACCAAGCTTGGTAGAAAGAGAATAGTGAAGATGAATGCATTGCTCAAGTGGATCAAAAAGGGAGATTTTTAGATACCCGAAACGTTATACAGTTCACAACTGCCTGGGAAGTGCAATCGAAGATGAACCCCATCGGAAACGTAAGGCCCGTAGCTCTATTGTTCATGGAGCAAATCTCAACGGCCGGAGAAGGTACAAGCTCTCCTAGGTAGATAGCTATGTAAGTGAGAAAAGAGCTAAAGAAAATAAAAACTGCTTGTAATCCTGATCCCCAGGAAACATGAGATACATGAACAAGTCCTAGATGCAAACCGCAGCAACAACCCTGGCTAGTACTTTGACCAGAACGATGGTGAGAACTACCTCCGTACACAACACCGGTTCTTCCCTAATTGAGAGGTCTTTCTGTGCCATGCCAGAAGCCTGTAAGCCCATGTAAAACTTTAACAGACACACTCAATCACCGTCGTCGACCGAGGGTTTCCCTTTGATTCCTTAGCTGCTTGTAAGTACTGGAGAGCCTGTGACGGTCGGCATCGCCATGGCTTGATCCACTCGAGCCCAATTCTTTCCCAATTGTACCAGTTTCCTTTTAATCCCATCCCCAATCCGAGAACTAAACCCAGACTCAATATTGCGAATTGCATACGCCAAGATATCTGCAGGATTGTCCAATTTCATCGTGGTCCCATCCAGATAAGACAACATTGGTATGGCATCGCCATTCCAAATGTATGGAACCAAAGCAGGATCTTCAGGAGAGACCTGATCGATGACCACCGGGGTTGTTGCTCTTCTGGGGCCTGAAGTATCGGCATCGCGCTTCCCATTGTCCCCGGCTTGGAAGTTTGGGTCGAGTCTGCACACACTATCTGCCCAGAGGATCAAAGTGGGTCGATATATGGCTGCAGCCCACCATGCTGGACGGCGGTTGTTTGGCATCTGCCTTAAAAGCCTGAACACCTGTCCACAGTGAAAGACGGCATCCTCGCGTTGAAATATGCACCGCTTGTAGCGTAGGGCAAGCTCCCAGGAGGAACCTGCCCCGTCAAGTCCCTCGCGGCGAGCCAGACGTTCGATCTCTGGGAAATTCGTCACTGCGTTGAGGGCGATGAGGTGGTAGAGCACAAGATTACAGCGCGTAACGGGACACCCTGGGTGATCTTTGCTGTAGTCCATCGTGAGATCATACCATTTTTGTAACAATGACTGGACCTCCTCCAGACGAAGCAGAGTCGAAGCCTTTGTGACGGTTCGAGTACTGGTTCGCCGGCCGTTGTGACTCTCGGAAAAGCACGACAACATCTGGCGGAGGTGACAAAGTAGTGCTTGCAGCGGGTGGAGGATCAGCCTGAGTCTTTGTGCAGAAAGAGTCGGTGATCTCCTAGAAAGGTTATCTTGAAGGAAGTCTTGAAAAAGATCATATAGAGAAGGTGTAATCGATGGAGTGCCCAGTAACTCTGGGCTGATGTTGGGAGAGCAGCCGTAGACAGACTGCATGGCATTGACCCATTGTTCCGAATCGGCCGCCATCCAAAGGACTTCGGGGGCAGGTAATGGGCACTGAAGTTCTGTGATGGCAAAGAACGGTGCTGTATCATGGAAAAGACTGAGCTCCTGATCAAGCATAACATAATTATACACCAATCTGTCTTTTTGTTAACTTGGTCTGCATACACAACCCCCCAAAATGGACGATATCTCACCTGTTCCTTGTCTCTCGGTTGATCCAAGCTCTCCATTGAAGCTCCGTATTGGAGGACCCATCAAAGATTGGCATTGATGGCTGTGGATCAAGGAACCCGGCGTGTTTCAGCATCTGGAAGAACTAGTCAGTTATAATCAAAACAAGGTCAGCCAGCCACGTAATGGCTACTTACCGACATATACATGCCCCGCTGTCCCATTGCAATATCCATTAGCCATTTATCCCCACTCCAAGCCCCTAGAACGATAAATAATAAGGCGCATCGAAGAGTTGTCGGATCCGATGCCAGCTCAATATCTTTCTCAACAATGTCGAATAATGATATCCGGCATGTTTCGGTCAAACCGGCAGAGAGATAACGAGCCTCTGCTATAGGCATTGCTGCAGCTCCTTGCGCGATCATGAGTAGGAAAAGCAATGTTGAGGCTTGGTTGTTTTGAAGCATCTCGTTGGGATCAACACAGGTTGTGACAAGAGGATAGTACACAGAGAGGCTCCTGACGTAGCTCCGCAAGAAGTATTCGAGGATGTTATTTGGTGGCAAAACAAGAAAACTGAAATCACCTGGCGAGGAAGCCTTGGGATAGCCACCATTGCTGAGGCTTCCTCTGTGTATGTCGAGCGCCTTGTGGAGGAAGCTCTGCGTAATTGCGAGCATCTTGTCGCGGGTACGTGGTGTTAGAGGGACAACAGAGGCTACGTCGGAAGGATCCCATTCAACCTGCTCTAGGTACTTCTCAAGTGAGCTCCAAGTGCCCTCATGCTTTGATTTCTGTTCTAAACACTCAAGATGAACGATTGCTGTCCGCGGACATGATCCTGCTGACGAGGGAGGGTTGCATCGGGCGAAGTTCCACGAGGCTTCAGCTGCCAGGACAACCTCGAACTCGGGAATTGACTCATCAGAAAGAGCAGCCATCGCAAACTCTGATGGCTTTATGCTGGTGTCGAAGTCGCCTGTGGACATGATGCTGGTACCACGGGTATGAATAGAGCTCCGTGACGAAGCAGTTCCCATGGATTCTGATGACGATGTGTCGCTGAATTCTGGAAAGGCTGGCATTGAAACATCGGTTCTCATCAACGGAATGGTCCCTGGATACATGTCGAGTTCCATTGAGAAGTCTGGCCACATCATGAGGTCCTGATAAGTGACCGTTTCCTGCATCCCAAAGTCGTTCCCCATCTGCATAAACTCATCCAGATTGCCTTCGTGGACGCGGGCATGCGGGGACGGCGAAAACGCATCTGGACTCTGTGACTGGTGGAGTAGTGCTTTTTTGGGTGATCCTTCGGTTACGCTGTCTCTGGGGGCTGCACCATCCATGGCCTGAGGAGACTTAGTGCTGTCTGTCTTGATCGCGTTTTGATCGACTTCCAAGAACGAAGGGTGTATTTGAGACGGCGTGACTTGCTGCGCTGTCTGCATCATGGCGGTCTGTAGAGCAGCATTGGCCTGAGCTAGTCGGACAGCAGCCTTTGAAGATCGTCTCGCAAAACGGGCAGCACAAGTTAAATTCTTCTCTGCACATCTTGAGCAGGGGACTCTCTTGTCACAACCAGTCTTTGCGTTTGCACAGTTCTGGCAAGCAATGGGAGTCCGGCCAGCAATTGTTGGAACCCCCCCTGGGAGTGGCTCCAATGGGTCTCTGGCCTCATGATAAGTTGCGTGGTGTCGTTGTAACAGGTCACTGGTGAGCAGGGATAGTCAGCATTGGATAGCATAATCGCTGGCCAGAGTATCTTAACAGGCACCAGGAACACTTGCCGTCGAGCAAAGGAGAGTTGGCAAGAACTGCAGCGATGTGGCTTCACATTTGTATCTGTCCCCGAACAATGTTAGAAAAGAAGCTATCCATGACTTATCAGACAACAGATTGGTATTCTCACGGCTTGGGATGTGTCGTTCCAAGTGCTCTTTGCGGGTGAAGCCCTTCCCGCAATAGGCACAGTACACCATTTTGGACGCCGTGGTGGGCAACAAGGTAACCGTCCTGACAAGCACCCTAACAGGGTCCTTGTCAACAGTGACGGTAAAATGTTAACAGAGTAATTGGTGCTAAATGGACAACTCCTGCCAGCGTTGCTAGCCTGACTTGATGTGTATGATCGATTCGGGGGAAAGCAGCCGTTATAAACGATCTTGAGCGGAACGTCAAGCACGAGACCAGCGGCAAGTGGAAAATGCTAAAAGAGGAGTGTGAAAAGAATTTCGAGGGATTTGAAGCAAGAATGGGAACAGGAGAGAGAGTTTGGCAAAGAAGAACAAGTGGAGATGTCTGAGTGTATGTATGACGGCCCGGAAAAGGAAGTCAAGTTCAAAGTGACGGATGCTTGATCCGACAGGGAGTGAAAAGCAGCTGGATGGAGCAGTCCTTTTCAATATCGGAAATATTAACGAGACATGGCTCGTTTGCCACGGGTCTTTAGTAGCCAGACCAGATGCGGCGCCGGGGATAGGAAGAACAGTATTAGAAAAAGAAGAGTCCGACTTGCAGTGCGGGAAACGGTTGCATGGGTACGGTAGCGGGAAACAGGACAGCAAGGGACAGGGGTACCTCGCGTGTCTGGGTAGTAATAGGCAAGGAAAGTGCCATATGTTGTCTGCAGGAAGATACGGTGAAGCCTTCTTGTTTCTCACTCAGCGTGGTGGTGCTCGTCTCGGGATATGACCTTGGACCACGGGATGTTCGTGGGTGTTTGGACTGGATGGTACGTACCTGCCGCGATGGGAAACGCCGTACGAGACACAGAAAGATCGGTCCAGCCAGTTATTGGACTAGTTCAGCCGCTGGCCTTGCTGCAATGGACGCTCTGGGACGCCGTGATGACGCTCACTGCATCAGCTCGGCGTGCCCTTCGGGGTTAGGTCAGATCAAGAACAGAGCCATAAATTGAAGTAAACAGTCAAGCTCTATTGTTAGAGTTAGTTTACAGCGTCTTCTGAAGCGGCATGAGGCAGAGCCCTTCGGGCTGCGCCGCGATGACAGCCTCCAGCGTCCAAATTGAGAACAAAACACAGCACACAAGACGTCACCATACAGGGACAAGATTCAAACTGGAAGGGCAGTGCGGGATCTCTGTGCCGAACAGCACGAAAAACTCGCGGGCTAGCACGTTGGCCAGCAGTCTTCCTCTCAGTGGTTGCCGGGACGAAGATCTGTTGATAGAAGCTGGTTGCAGGCCTATCAGGCTTGCTTCACCGAATCTGTCGTTACCCAATGACATAATTCACAAGAATTGCGCCGAAGAAAGAGCTGTGCTGAGCCTGCCGTCCCGATAAAGACAGGGAGGAGGGGTCAATGCCATCAAACCTCTCCCATCCGTGTGGACTGGATAAGGATAATGGAAGGCAATTGATATTGAGATCTGTAGATCTGCGGGGTGGCGGGATCTGGAGGCGCCGATTTGTAAGAACAGAAATCGGAACGTATGACTCAACTACTATGAGCTATTGCCCAGTTCCCATCATCAAGTACTTCAGTATGGAACAATGGGACAAGCTAGATTGCGGGTATAGAGTTTGTAGTGCATGCGATGCGACGCAGGCATCCTCTAGCATCCATGGGTTCGGAGACCCAGGAGCATTAAGGTTGGAGGAAACTCTAGAGTCATCTGGGGAGAATGCTAAGGAAACGGGGCTTCTGAAAATGCTCGCAAAAGACGAGACGCACATTCGAGCGGTTCTAGCAGGTCACTTTAGGCACAAAAATGCCCATCAAATCGGATCCAAGACGAGCCATCCATCCATTTCTGCAGGAGGTACGGTCGACAAAGCCTGATAGCCGCCACAAGGACCTCTGCAACAGCTGCAGAGCAGGCGATGTTAGCCCTGTGTATGCAAAGCGGGAAAGACAGCAGCCAAAGAGGTGCCCGTCAAAACGTGTTTTGGTACATTATATTGAGCCTGCACCATGGAGCTGGCACCGGGAACATTGTTTTGGGTTCTGGGCTGCAGCGTGTCAACCTAAAGATCATCGAGAGATACAGGGCCGCTGCCACCACACCTGGAGCACAATAACCCTGGTAGCAAAGGTCCCGGATACCCAGACGGCCTGCAAGTTCCTATAGCACAGTCTTACCAATCAACACTGCTCTAACAGCTTCACAGACTCACTGCCAGTGTCGTCTGAGCCTGTCAGCAAGCAACCGGTATCTCCTATAGGGTCTAGAAGGTAATGCTTCTTTTTAAGGAATGCAAAAGTGTCGATTCGAGGGTGACTTCTCGATATCGTCGGGTCGGAGTGCAGTGGTTATGAAAATGGGTTATGCTCGACGGCAGCATCATCGACACGTCGAGCATCCGCACGATCCGCTGCTGCTGACAAGGAAAAGGAACTTGATAGGGTGCTTATTCGCCGGGAGTTCGAAGATGGGCAGTGCCGTCAAGACCGAGGCATATGGCGTGGGACTGGGGATATGCAAGCCTCGGTGTTGTAGTATCATGGAGCAGAAGGTAAAGATGGGAAAGGATTGGTCGATCATTCGAAGGCCGAGAAAAGATTGACTTGATACGATCACTCCTTCCTTGTGTTGCCATCTGCAGCATATGCATACTGCCCAATGCACTGCCAAGATGGGAAGCGTGGCTCCACCTGCAGGTAGCCACCCACCCCTGCTTGGCGCTCATCTTCAAATCGTTTCCCCTGCACCTTGGCATTCCCAACCCCACCATCCCACTCTCTTCCCGTCCCCTCTTCTCACGTTGTCCCTTGCAAAGTTCCCGTCAAGCCTCTAAAACACTCTTGGATGCCATTTACACACCTGCAGTTAGTCATGTCCAGCTTTTCCAACTGGCCACCGGTCGTGGGACCGGTGCGGCGAGATGCACAGAATCCATACCTGTCTTCTATCTCAGACGCGGGAGGGCTTTTGTTCCGTTGATTCTTGCAGCATCCCATTTACGATGATCAACCGGTTCCTGCTTCAATGCCGTTCGTTGTTTGCTATTCCCGCCTGCTTATGCCCTTCGTTGGCGCAAATATCATTCTGTCTGTATACTGGTAACAAAAATCAGAGTAAACATGGAGGGTGGATCGAGCGCACAAAGGACCGGAATGATCTTAGCACCAGCCATCTCATGTCAAAAATGGAAATGAGAGGTCACCACTCTTCAAGTAGCCCGATGGATTCGTTCGGAACTGCTTCCTGCTCAGTCCAGTGTAACAATGCCATGGCCAATTTGAAGCAACGCCAACTGTGATGCCCCCGCCAGCGGTTCTTTGCTGGATCGTCCTAAGCTGGCCCGGCCCGGATCGACGCTTTGTACAGAGCAGGCACCCTTGCAAACAAGGGCATCCTAGTCTAAGCTGCACGTACATGAGCAGCTGTCTTTTTGTCTGCCCGGTAACTGGGCATTAAAAGTTACATGATCGAAACCTTGCCTCGTGCTTCATGATCAAGGCTAATTGGAGAAAGAAATGGAGTATGCAACGCCGGGTTGAAACTCTGCATGTCGAAATTGATTCCACCTGAAAATAGTAAACTGCATTCCTATTCCAAGGACCCGGAATATGCCACTTCCCAATGCACTGCCCGTGAAGATTGTTAGAATTTCAAGATTTTGGGCCTACCAGCAAGCAGTCTGTCAAAACATCGTTTCAACAAAGCGAAAGCCACTTTGTTTGCACAGACCATCTCCTAAGACTCCATGCCGGTGATCTTTCATTGGCCTGGAATATTCAGAGCAGACTACCTACTTCGGGAGAATTATTTGAACAGCCTGTCAATGAGGGAGATGGATGTTCAACCCATGTGAGCTGCAGGAAAGGAAGATGGTAAGTGATTGGTAATACCATCCGGTTATCCTAAATAAATACAACCCAAGATATCTTCATGTCCCAGAAGCTAAAGGTCTCATCATCTCCACATTCACATGGGATGACGAGCATACAAAAATACTACAGAATAGAGGTAATAAGCTGGATATAAATGACCCCTAAAAATATTCCCGTAGGTGCTCCATCATCTCTGATGACGGCATTTCGTCTGAGTGGACGGGAACCGCTCGGGACCGAGCTGTTAGGCTAATAACCAGCCTTAAATATCAAAGTTCGCCCGGCATAGCTCTGGTGGGCAGCTCCAGGACAGGCAAGCTGCACGTAATTCGCGTACTTTGATTTTGATTTTGTTTTTGTTCATAATCAGTCAGTCAATTTTTATCATGAATCTGCACCTGGACGTTATTCAAGGCATACCGGACAATTACATCCGTATAGAACATGACGATGCCAACGGCTAGGAGGAATTCGGCCAGCAGGCAGGCATGCCAAGCATTGGAGAGCTCTGCACAGCTAAAAAACTGACATAACCCTAGGCCTGGGGTCGAGTCAATGTCTAAGGCGCCATGGCACAGCGTGACAGTCGGACCAATTAAGACACGATGCTGCCATGCTGCATGTCCGGAAAAGGGTGCCGCTGCCGGGGTCC